CCTTTTTCTTGTCTGCTGACAATATAGACAAAGAGTTCAATCACTATAATGGCTGAGGTCAGCCACTGAAGCTGGCTAGATGTGTAGCAGCATCTATGGATGACCAAATGCAGTGGGGGAAAAAAAAGTATACAGCTCTAGAGAATGTCTTAATTGGTACCAGGTGTAGTTAAACTGCACACAGTTACAATGCAAACTCTGTTACCTAATTGTTATCATGTTCAACGTGAAGCTAATTGTCAAGGTTGTGTTTGCTAGCAATTAAGTTCCCTGTGCTATGCTATACCTGAGGATGAATGAGGTGTTATAGGCTTGTCTGAATATCTCTCACATGTGCTTTCCTTGTGGTTTGGAAATAGTTCCTAAGGGGAATCAGTATGGTAGCTAAGGAAATCCATTTGAATAATGTGCATTATATTCACATTGGGGAACCTGCTTTTTCCTTGTGTACCCATGAGTAGGTTCTCTTTTCTTACATGTATTACCAGTAGTTTCAGTGTTTGAATGTTGGCAGCAAAGTTACTTTGAAACCCTGGGTTGCCTGTTATACAGCCTTTATGCAGGCCGGGTTACAATGACAGGAAGTAATACTACATTAAGCTTCCAACACAAACTGACACTTTCAAAGTTAATTAAAGGTGGGAATCCTATATGAATAGTTTTGAGCCATTGGGGAAAAAATAAAACTTGTTTGTAACAAAATTGATTTAATAGGATTGGAGGATTGTAACCACGATAGTCTAAGAGCTGCACGTTGGGAAAGGGTATATTTTACTGAATCAGCTGTATAGTTGGGACAAGCTTTTGGGCACAAAGTGCCCTTTGTCAGGGAAAAAACAATAATTATTTATGCCAATCTGTATGTGTCATATGTAGACCCTGCATTCTTAAACCCTAACAGATTAGGTTCTTAGCATGAAAGCATGGCTTATCCTCAGCTCAGTGTTTAGTTTACTGAAATACAGGTAAGACAGTGTCTCACAATTTTTTTCGTTGTAGCCAACCAATCAAATACTTTTTGGACATTTATAATCATTACCAAACACTGCAGATTAAAAAGAATTTTCACTCTGGTTATGCTATTTATGAAACGCATATTACAGGGGAAACTAGGAATTCTACCTGTCATTTTAAAATAGGACAGTTGTAGAAAGTTGGAGCTAACAATTTGATGTATTAAATTAGCCACAGAAAAGTGGTGCTAACTAGTAAGATACCCAGAGAAATACAAGCTTCACTTTGGTGTTGTGAAGCTGCTCCTCTTTTACATTATATTGGACTGTTTGAGATACCAATCTTGTGGCAAATATAGATGACACTTGAGCTGTAATATTAGAAGAATCTTTTCAGTATGCTGTTCTTAGAATCATTCCCTAAGCCCGTAACTCACTTCTGTGGGCATGTGGCATGCTGAAAACCCCAAGTAAAGACGTTTGATATTGTCATCTGTGGTTTTTGTTTGCTGTCACTTAGGTCGTTTTTATATTACTGGAATGTTTCAAAAAGTGTTAACCACCGTGAGTGAAAGTAGAGGCCATTCCGTACAATTTTTGCTCAGAACTGAAGGCCCAGTAATGTCAGTGTCCTATTTGGAGCTGTTGATTAAAATGTCATGTTTTAAATAAGTTTCTTTTTACTTTTCTACTGGTATGTTACGAAGCACATAACATGGTTGACAGATGTGAATGAATGCCCAAATCATCCTAGGTCTCAACTTTGGGATGTGGTTCCTGTTAAGCAGGAGTGTGAGAAGAATTAGTGATTATTTGATAGGCCTCAGGGTTTGAACATATGAGCAAACTGACTGGCATTTCTATCAACACCACAGGTGGACACGGTTTTGGAGTAAGAGTACCTTTAACTGCTAAAAGGCTTTCTCTGGAATAAGAATAGTTACCTTTTCAGTAGGTGTTCCAATCATGTGGATTGGCACTTGCTATGAAGAATTCACTTTCCACAATCCCATGCCATTTTTTACCCATTTGTCACCGTGCCTATCGTGCATGACCCTTCAGAGCAATGAAACTTTATTTTGGGGGAGAGGGCTAAATATGCCGTTCATTCTGAACATGCATCTCACAGAAGATTTCTCCTCCCCTCTAATTTGCTTCCAATATACATTTTAATTAAAGTAATTTCTAGAATTAAGGCCTTACCCAGAAGTTAATGAAGTAGGAGGAAATATTGTCAGGTCTGCACTTAAATCTGAAAAGTCATGTTAATTTTGGCAGAACCTGGAAAATAATTACCTTATTCACAGGGTATAAATGATAAAAACTACAACCCAGTGAAAACAGCTGACTTGGAAAAGAGATGTTGGAAGGGCTGGGGTATAGATGGGTTAAAGAAAAAGGTAGCATTTAAGATAAGTTAAAATTGTCAAGTGAGATTAGGACTTTTATAAGTGAGGATCGTGGTAGTGGTGGTAATGCTGAAGGGACACTGAGTGAGTGAATAAGTAAGAAGGAAGTTCTCAGTATATGAAGTTAGCACTTGAGTCTTGTCTACGTATATTTTTAAGACTGCATTCTCATTCCTGATAGAAATTTTGGTTTGCAATAAAAAGAAAAAAAAAGTTTGAGTGCTACTAATGTCTCTGGGGTGAGTCAGGGGAAGGGCAGGGAGCTGCATCCCAAAAGCTGTGCAATACACTTGTTTCTTAATTGTAGCTGATAATTTTCAAACCTAGTAATTAAATGTTTCTTGTTGGAATTGTGTTTGAGCATGTGCATGCTTTTGGGGGTTATGTAAATCAACATGTGCACTTTGGACTTATAAATTGGTTTATCTTTATTGTCTTTTGGGGTAGTAAATTACACAGAATTATGCCAGGGTTATTTGAATATACCTATGCACGTGCCCTGTCCATGTATATAATCATACGTGCTGCAAGTTCTGTGTTTTAGAGGGCTTCTAAATTTAAAAAGGACTTCATAAGCCTCAGTTAGTACTGGTAATTAAGTACTTCAATATAAAACTTGCACACAGTTGTCAGGGGTAGTTATCTTTGCCTGTGTGAAACAACTTGCAGGATAGGTCTTAAAAATACAAATTACTTCTCTTCGTTTATGCAGCTATTTTCCCCTTCTCTTAGGCAATGAAAGTTTAATGAAATCAGTTTCTCATGTGTTTATATTAAGTTACTCTTTCAGCTTTTAAATGCTGGAATAATTGAATTACTTGTAGGTTTTAAAAAAATATTTCTATTAGAGTTTTTCTAAGGAACCGTTTTATTCTGGTCTTGAATTTAGTAAAGGAATGCTTTTGCAACATTTGACCTTATAGTACAGCTTGAATAGACAGTAGTTCTAAGTTTTCTTCTTCCGTAAGCATTGGGGGTTTGTTTTGAAAGAAAAATCTAGTTTTCATTGGAATGGATTTTAGTATTTATTGCTTCCAAAACATTCCCTACTTTTTTGTGTGCATTTGGAAGGAGAAGAGGGGTTAAATTCAGACTGTATTTATTAAGGTAATTAGTTCAGTGATCCAACAAGCCCACCTTTTAGCTACAAAACATTGTGGTAAAGACATTACTGTGAGCTTCTTTATACTGAATTTCACTGGACCCTCCCATATGCTTTGTGTAAGCACCCTGGCATTTGTTTAGCTTGAGTAGTCATGAATAAAAGAGCTTAGATCTAGCTTTAAAGTGCAGCTTCTGAAGTAGGCAAAAGAGGATTCGGATTGCCTTGTGTACCCTGTTTTGTTTTCCTCCTCCTTTTGGCTGAATGGTAATGTCTGAGCACTGCAAAGCTGCTATGTTGGAGTCTTCAGATTTTATTTCCTTTTTTTCTTTCTTTTTCTTAAACGGGGTGTTATTCAGCACATATCAAACTGGCTATTTGCTTACGTTTGTGATCTCTTAAGAGTAAATATCTATGGCTTTTAAGTACACACAAATATTTCCATTATAGATTTACCGCTGTATCTGATTTGGCATAAACATATGTTGGCACCACGCTTTCCCCTAGTGATATTTTTTGAGATGGCTTTTAGAACCAGGCTTTGTGAAAGGAGTTTTTCTGCACAACTCATTCAGCATTGTTCATGGCATTAACACATCACTGAACAAATTGCCCTCTTGCATATGCTAATCCTGCACTTAAAAGAACTCATTGTAACATGTTTTAATGCTTTAGCTAGAGAAGAGATGGGAATGGGAGGCATGTCAAATTGTGTCATGTGACCCAAAAATATCTAAAATGGCTTTTTTTTCTTTGGGTCAACAGTTTGTACTTAGCATATCTGAATGAAAATAGCCTGTGTAGTTTGTGGAATAGATTAGTCTTTGCTCTTGCCTTTTGTGCGCGTCTGTTGGCCCTAGTTTTTAAGAGCAAGTTTGACTATACAACATTTTAGTCTTAATTTCACACTAGTGGTGAATTTTATGTTGGCAGTAAAAAATATTTGATCTTTGTGTTGCAGTAAATTTGTTGAGGGCATCTAGTTGGAGTTTTTATCGCAGCTAATAAATAAATGAGCTACTCAGTAACCTTAATCCATAGTTAACACCCATTTAATTTTTATTGTTTTAAGAGGTGGATGGTATTATTACATGCCTCAATTCATAAAGGTACTATAAGCAGGTCCTCCAACCCTTGCTTCTGATGTTTTAAAAATGAGTATGCCATGGAACCTATAGATTTTATTAGCAGTTATGTAATGCCTGCATGTATGTGATAATTATAGTAATTGTTTAATGAATAAGCAGCGAGTCTCATTCTCTCACATAATAAGTTGAATTAAGTAGGAAAATAAATGGTGACTGACATAATAACTGAAGTTCTGATAGGATGATCTATGCAAAGTCAAGTTTCCCTTTTAAAATGCACATGCCTCAATAAATGTTTGCCTTGGAGGACTTTTGAGTTGAATTAAATGGAATGAGACTGTAGGTATCACATTTCTAAAGCCTCTATCATATCTAGTTGTGTTTTCAGGAGTGCACAAAGAAATTCTGAAAGGAATTTTTGATTGACCTTGTTTTTTTGTCTTTACAGAGTAATTCTCTGTTGGTCCCGGAGAGCCTGCGAAGCACAGATAAACGCAGGAATGGGCCTGAATATTCCAATGACATCAAAAAAAGAAAGGTGGATGATAAGGATTCCAGCCACTATGTAAGCAAATATATGTCAAAGAAATGATTAATTTATTTGGAGATAATGAGTTTGTGTGAAAGTGGAATAGTTGTGAAGAGCTAGATTTTTTGCAGTTGCTAGGTTTCATGCAGTTGTTGCAGTATATGAATATATGCTACCGAGACCATGCTAATTATGCTATATGTTGAGCTACATTTATGTACTATAATAATGCTATATTAACTAGAATAATGAATAGTTTAGCTTAATGGTACATGATTACTCTCAGTAAATAGTAGAGCCAGCCACACCTGCCTTTAGAATTCAAAAACCTTCAAGTATCTACTTCCTGGTGGATTTCAGCAGTAGGTCCTTTTGTGAGCTGCTTCTAAGCCCTGTTGCATGATTCGGCTGGGAAGAGAGCCCAGTTATATTCAGAAGAAGATTGTTTATTTCCATGGACATCCTCTTACATAGACTTTAATAATGATCACCAAGGCTGGAGAGAACGACTGTGAATGCTCTAGTGGTGGGCTCAGTGTTTGGGCACTGCTGAAGTCCACCATTTTTGAAGCAGCATTTGAAGTACTTCAGATGTTTCCCTGGTCCTGGGCCAGAGTGAAACAGAACTGAGCAGCAGTGTCTCAGTTCAGATCCACAAATCACAGTGAAACATATCAATTGTTAAATGGCAGTGTCAGAGGCTTGTGTTTTGATTGGAACAATTGAAATAAAACATCAATGTTTCTGAAACCAGAAATTATCAAAAACTTTTCAAAATATTCAGTATTTTTTTTCTTGCCTAATCAATCTGCAGGTGTCATGTGAAAGAGATTCTGATTTCAATGAGGTTGAGTGATAAATGTCATGCAAGATTAATATATAGACAGTCAAAGGGGGCCTTTGTGAGAGGGTCCTTGTAATGTTTGATTGTGAGAATATTGCTTGTTAATGGCGGTGATGAGGGCACTCTCTTTCATTAGGATGATAACTTTAAGGCCAGAAGAACCATAGCTCATGTTATTGTCATGTACGAGTTTACTAAACTACTTGATTCTATTAAGTTAAATGTAGTGCCTGTGAATTATAAAAGTATAATTGGAAACTAAATTCTCAGACTACTATTTTTATCAAATTTTATATATTTGTCTTTTTATAACTAACAGGTGTCAAAGGGCTGTGTGCCTTTAATTTGTGTAAAAAAAAAAAAAAAAAAAA